GTCCTGCTCCTTCTCTAGTTAAAAACGAATTTTGCACTGTGGAGAAGCTTTGGAATGGATGATCCCACAAGGTGTGGCTTCGTCCAAGATTGTGCTCAGGAGTGGACCTCACCAGGACACGCAAGTTCCCTGACACCCAAACCAACCCCTGGGGCACTGTATTTCTGTCTTGAGGAGTGGCAGTGGCCACACCTGTTGGGGATTAAAGTCTCACTGGCCCTCTGGGTTGGATCTTCGCACAGTAGCCTTTTCCTCATACTCTGATTTTATTTGTGAAGGGAAAACCAGTTAAACACATGAAGTGACTCCAAGTAAGACATTGCAGGGAATCTGGCGGCTTTCTGGGCCAGAGTAATTTTTCACAGGGCTCTCCTTTGCTGTCACCAAGGCCAGGGTTTTGCCCATGGGTCTGGGCAGGGTTTACAGGAGCATCCTCCAGGTACAATAAAGGCCGTGTAACGTTTGGCCGTGAGCTACAAGAGCCATGGCACTCTGTCACACGTTGGGTACTCTGGGGGCTGGAAAGTATCTGGGCTAAACCAGACTCTTTCCACAGCCCACTGGGAAAGACAGGATCTCCAACGGGACGGCTCACGGCCTCACAGACACATTTTAAGGTAGGAGGACTCACCATCCGAAACGCCCTCCATCGTGTCAGAGAGATGCAGGCAGAGTTCACAGCGGGCACTGTTACTTTTCCGATACTCAGGCTGGACGAGGCAGACATCTCCTTTCTTCTGCGGGCAGAGCAAAACACCTGGGGAGAAATGGGGAAAAAAGAAACGTCAGCTGCTGGCGGTGATCTGTGTCAGGAGCAGTGGGCCAGAAAAGATGCCTCCCCTTATCCTGTGTGAGACATTTCCTGCAACACTTGCGTTTCCTCTCACTGACTCCTTCTGCAAAGGCTTTTTGAATTTTTACTGGCACCGATGTGAGACCACCCTTGGTGACACATGCACTGCCCATGGTCGTGAGGTTGAGCACCGCTCCGTGAATGACAGTGCAGTCCAGGCATGGCAAGACATCCAGCTTTCTAATTGCCACTACACTTTATGCTAAGACCTCTTCCTCTCCCACTCTTCAACGTTATGTGACTATTAATGGCGTCTCCTGTGAGGAGCTGGAAGCAGAGGGAGAGCTAATTATATTACGAAATGCTACAGTCAATGCCCTGTAAAGGAGTGGAGAAGAGATGCTCGCTGCAAGCTTCTCTCTCTCCCACCAGAGCCTCCCAGGCAGCACCAGCTCCCCGGCTCGGGCAGCTCCGCCACAGCTATAATTCAGTGTGACTCAAAAATTTTATTTCGGCAGGAAAAGCTGACGCAGCAGAGGGTTTCTTGTCACTGTCTGTGGACAAGCCCAGGGGAGGCAGAAATGGTTTGTTTAATGCTGTCTCTCATTATTCCTGGCACTTTATGACTCATTAAGTGTCCTAGTTTTGTAACTAACTCCTGCTGAGCTCAACATCTGATACACATTTATAGGTGGCCTGTTGGCTGTAATAGCGATTGAACTATTCATAATTCCCCTAACCACGTTAACTCCTTCCTTTGCGCGCCAGGCTTCCTTTTAACAACTGTAAGATAAAGATACTGGGGACTTGAGTTCTTAATGCAGAATGAATTACATTTATCTGGGCAGTTTATTAACACAGCTATATGCTGCAATTAGACACACTTGTTCGGAGCCCAGATAAACCATGCTGTGCCCTAATACTTCTACACTGCTCCCCTTCTGTATCTACTATGCTTTTCACCATGGATGTACCCATGCAGATGGATGCTTGATACCGATTCCCCTCAGAAGAAGGTCAGCAGCACACACATCAGTAAGAGGACCTTGTCCAGGTGGGTCTTGAATATCTCCAGAGAAGGAGACTCCACAACCTCCCTGGGCAGCCTGTTCCAGTGCTCCGTCACCCTCAGAGGGAAGAAGTTCTTCCTCATGTTCAGACGGAACTTCCTGTGCCTCAGTTTGTGCCCATTGCCCCTTGTCCTGTCACTGGGCACCACTGAAAAGAGCTTGGCCCCATCCTCCTGACACCCACCCTTCAGATATTTGTAGGCATTTATAAGGTCCCCTCGCAGCCTTCTCTTCTTCAGGCTGAAGTACACTGCTCCCCTTCTGTATCTACTGTGCTTTTCACCATGGATGTACCCATGCAGATGGATGCTTGATACCGATTCCCCTCAGAAGAAGGTCAGCAGCACACACATCAGTATTCATTCAATAGTATTGAATGGGAACAGGAGCCAAATGACCCTCTTGCCCATTACAGGTGGGAATTAGAAGTAAGGGACCTCTGTTCAAGAACCTTCTTGTGATATGAGTGATCTTGTCAGCTTCTCCCCTGTTTTCCAGCTTGCTTTCTTTGCAAAAGGTCAGCAAGAATTCAAAATAGAGCCCAGCAACATGTTGACCCAGTCTGACAACTGATGCAAACAGGGCAACCGCAAGCACTCAGCACAAGTTTGACAGACACAAGTATTTTTCAAGATGACAGCACATTTAACCTGTCTCTTCTGAAAGCGTCCTGCACGATCACCTCAGAGATAGGTAGACAGGTCTGTGATTTAGGTTAATTTTTCTTTCATTCACTTGAAGCACAGAGTCACTCTGAAAAGATGTGGCTTTTTGCATACATTCCAACAAATCCAGTCTGTGTATATTTTGGTGCCTGACTGAAAAGTCACCAGCAAAATGACACAGGTCTAAACGGAAGGTCAGTATCTTGGGTTACTTCAAACTCAAGGCAGAAGTTATTTGCAGCTTCAACCAGTCTGTCATAGAAGTGTGCCTGATTTCAGACTACTTTGGAGGAGAACGCCCTCAGAAATTCAGTGGTGTGTAGGCCAGTATTCAAGATGGTTTTGTACTGGGTCTGGCTGGGATGGAGTTAGCCTTCTCCACAGCAGCCCGTACAGTGCTGTGCCTTGCACTGCGGCCAGGCAAGCGTTGGTGACACACCAGTGTTCTGGCTGTGGCTGAGCAGTGCTTGTGCAGTGTGAAGGCTTTCTCTCCAACGCCCCACCACCAACTTTAAAGGTCGGTAGGCTGGAGATGGGCAAGAGGTTGGGAGGGGAAATAACTCAGACAGCTGACCCAACCAACCAAAGGGATATCCCATGCCATATGACGTCATGCTCAGAAAGAAAAGCTGAGGGAAAGGAGGATGATGGGAGGACTTTGTGGTGATGTCATTTGTTTTCCCAAACAGCTGCTGGGCCCTGCTTCCCAAAAAGTTGCTGGACATCTCCTGCTGATGGGAGGTGGTGAATGAATTCCTCTTTTTGCTTTGCTTCGGTATGCAGCTTTTGCTTTTCTTAATAATTGTACGTATCTCAACCCGTGAGCTTTTCCATGTCATTTTCTCCTCCAGTCCTTTTGAGGAAGCGGAGTGAGGGAGCAGCTGGGCGGGCATCTGGCAGCCAGTCAAGGTCAACCCTCCACAGGGTTCTGGACAAAGATTAATTTTCTTGACTGGTTCTTTCCATTTTGGTCGCTGCTGATCACAAAAAAACGCCAGATGATGTAAACTTCAAAGGCATTTTCATATGAGAATTTCAATTTGATTCAATACTGCGAACCTCAAACATTCAATAATCATCAGTCCTGATTAAAAAAGAAGAAAAACACTTGGGGCCTTACCTTTTAAGTCTTGATGTTTGAGCCCACAAGGACATAGTTTTATGACCAGCATATTCTAGTTCAAGCCTGTGTTGCCCTACTGAGAGTGGCCCCACTCTCACTAGTGCCTGTTTTATATTCCTGCT